AAAGAGCAAGCACTTCATCCCTTTGCCTTTCTGCTCGAGTTTCTAATGTCAACAAATTCTGGGAGGGAAGCACCAAGCTCCAGACATCCCACGTGGGAAATGCTCGTAGATGAGCAGCAGCACCGTCACGGTCCGTCGCTGTGTGCCGGCAGCTCAGCTCTCCCGGGGCTCTGTGTCCTCATCAGCACCAGCTTCAACCCAAGCTGGCATGTGAGCAACGGACAATGATGTTTCTAGGTCACCACCCAACACCTGGAGTCGGGAGATCTACCACGATTTGCTCATTTTAGTGGCCTAATCTTCAGCGTTGCTGAGCAACTGCATCCCAGCGGCAGGTGCTCCTCCAAGCAATGATATTTTAATCATCCTCGGAGGTCAGATGTTCCACTGGGACCAGGGGGGTGGGCTGCATCCACCCCCTCTGCCAGCATGTCCACAGGGAGTGAGCAGGGCGATGTGGGCACTGCAAAGATGATCCTGAATGGGGACAGGGTAAACGCAGAGCGGGCAGCTCCAGGAGCCCACGTCTGCCCAGGGACGGATGAGGATCGGACAGCATATGGCACTCGAGGTCGGACACACCAGCTCCAAGACTACAGGACCTGCCACTGGTGTGGGGACAGGACCTGTGCCAGTGGGCTGGGTGCCTGATCGGACACTGTTCTAAAAGCACCATGGGGTTCACCTCAGCACCCATCAGCTCCAACCCCATCTTGATGTTCACCCTGTGGCCAAGCTTCTTTCCCTGGCCAGTAAATAGCTGCTTTCTGCTGGGGCTGAAGCTGCCACAGCCAGTCCAGGAGCACCTCGGCATCAGGTGCACCCTCTGAGCATCCCATACACTCTCCAGCATAGCTCAGCTCCCTCCTGGGGTAAACTGGGAGTGTTGTTCTGCAGTGGGGAGCAGACAATGGCAGACGACAAAATAGACCTGAAAACAGTGGCCTTCGTAAGTCATGAGTGACTCAGGAGCATCTCAGCTCCAGGGCCCGGCCAAGGCTCCTGGCAGAAGCTGAGCTTCCTTGAGCACTGGCTCTGAAAGGTGTCCAGCACGTTGGGAAGCCTCAGGCTCCAGCCCAGCACAGCTGAGCACGTGCACTAGGAGCGGAGGAAGGATTTAAATCATCTGCTGCTGCACAGGTCTCTGCTGAAGGCGGTGCTCACGCTCACACCATAAATCTGGTGGCTCGAGGGGTGCTCATGTCCCCGCTCTGCTGCAGAGTACCAGGCGATGGCAGGGGTCTGCCAGGCAGGGGTGCGGGGAAGGGGAAAGAAACCCTGTCCTTGCCAAAAAGGTGGAGCAGACCGGAGCTGATCATGGGGCAGCAGCTACACCCGGTCCCTAGGACTGTCCCTGCAGCAAGATAGGATCGAGCATCCAGCTTTGGGCAAGGTCCTATCCACCCTCCTCTTCCTGGCTAAGGGAAGAGCCCCGCGGCAGCTCGGCCCTGGACCTGCACTCACCCACTGATGATCTCCTTGTTCTCAGCCCGGATGAAGTGCTCTTTCTCCGGTGTCAGGATGCACAAGGAGAATTTCTGCCCTGTCCGGCTCTCCCCGTCCACCACGTCCGTGCACTGGTTCATGTTGATGGTGCCCTGCGGGAGGGTTGTCGGCTGCGAGGGGAAGGAGAAAGGAGACATGTTAAAGGAGAGAAGAGCAGATGGGTGCAGAGTTGAGCCCTAAAACCTCTCCTGGTGGACACCAGGATCCTACACACCCAGATGCTCTGCCCACGAGTACCCAGACTCATTCGTGCACCGTGCTGGCACACGCTGAAGCCCTGTGCCACACATGTGAGGACACAGACCAGCAGGCACAACTCCTGCCCGTCCAGCCCAGCCCAGTTCACTGCTGCCAGCAAGATGTTTCTCCTGTGCTGAACGCCGAGGGAAGGACGGCTGCCCCACTGCAGCGCAGGGACACCAAGGCAAGGCACCGAGTGCCCAGCTCTGGGTTTGCAGCTGCAAACCACCTGGGGTGGTGGGGTGGCACCTGGGGACAGGGGGTGGCAAAGCAGCGAGGCCCCGCTGCCCTCAGCGCAGGATGGCTCAGGCACTACGGACAGACAGACAGATGCACACACCAGGTTTTTCCCATTGAAGTTAATAAAACATGGAGTTTGCTAGGGAGGGACCGCAGCATGGAAGGGACCTTGTTTGATCAGTTTTAGGAACACAGTGTCACCTCCTGCCCACCTCACTCCAAGCAGAGTGGGACAGGCAGTGGCCCTCCTCGCCCAAGAGGACACGGAGGGACCCAGAGGGGTGTCAGCACTGACGAGAGCTGGCAGGTCCATCTGGAGCAGCACCAGTTCATCCAATTACAGTGCAGCCACCCGCTCCTGGTGCATGGTGCCCGTAGCTCCCCCTTCCCAAGCAGCGATGCCCCAGACTGTCTGTGCCCCACCAGACTCGGTGACACTGAAGTCTCCTCCAAATCCTGGCATGAATCTGCCCCTGGGGCACAAATGACCAGGTGGAGGGACCCCTCTGAGCTACCAACAGCACCAAAGGAGCAGCCAAAGCAGCCCACGGCCACCTCCTCACCTCGCCAAAGCCTCCTTGCACCCTCCAGATGGCCAGGCCAACAGAGAGACGGATTCTTGGCAGATGCTGTTAAGGTTTTTACCATGGAAACCCATTCCCTTGCCAGTAAAACCCCTCCAAAAAGCAGTCTGCACCATGCAATGAAGAGGCAATTGGGGAAAGCTCAGTGGCCCCAGCCTATGACCCCAGGAAATTCAGAGCAGCCCCAGGAGGGCCCTGGTTTATGCATCCACAGGTCGTGGGAAATAGCCCCCTTCCCCAGGAAAAGGGCTTTCCCTGCAGTGTGACCCCGGGCGAGTGCATCCTATGACAGCCCAGGGTGGGACAGAGCCATCATGGGTGCTGCAGCATCAGTGCCCAGCACGAGCACACCACTGGGACTGGTCTTACATCAGGGCCACCAAAACCTTCTCTTCTCCCTTTGTGGAAACCAGCATCAGCATCCAGAGACCCCACGGGATGGAGAGGAGGAGGGAGGGAAGGCAAAGTGTAGCCCCGACCCCCGGCACAGCGCATGCACAGCCGCCCGCCCTGCACCGCCGCGGGCAGTCGGCTCCTAAGAGGATTTTTTTGTCTTAGACAACAAAAATAAAACCCCGCTTTCCGGGAGCTATAAAAACCCAACGGAAAAACTTTCTCCTGTTCCAAGTGGAGTCTTAGAAACGTTTGTGTCTCGTTAGCCTTCAGCACAGCCACGACCTCCCAGACTGGAAGGTCTGGGTTCAACCCCCTTCCCCACCCAGAGCATTTGTGCACCATGGAACGCAACTAGGACGGGGGAAAAGGGGATGATGGTGGCTCCAGGAGGGAGCCCCAGTCCCTTGTGGGGACCCCGGGCCACTCGGTCTCTCTTGCCACAGGCACCCCTCGACTCCCTGGGAAGCCCTGCAGGGATTTGGCTGGGAGCTGGCACAGAAGGAGAGGTTGAGACGGCTCCATGCGAAACCCGCCTGCTCTCCTCCCTCTTTAACCCCACAGCAGCGTTCAGGGTGGCTTCCCCTGCTGCCCACACCCAGCCCCGATCCAAGCGTGCCCGGAGCAGAGGAGCCGGTTTGGGGCCCCCACACTGCTGGGCTGGCTCTGTGAAGTGGTTTTGCCACACACTCCTCCTTGCAAGGGCGAACGTCGGCATCTCGCACAGCCTGACGCGTGGGTCCCCATCCACCACCACGCCTCTGAGCCGGGAGAGGGGCTGTGAGCCAAGCTGGGACTGTCCCCATGGAGCTGTGGCCAGGGACAGGATGGGCACCAGAGATGAACCCTCCACCCCATGGCAGCCCCCGCTGCGCCCTCACACCTCTTGGCAGCAGATGAAACCTGATGGACCAGCAGCCTCGCTCCCCCAGGATGTCAATTCCTTTACACCGTGGAGGTCAACTCCTTCCTTGAGACAGCGCAGGCACTTCGGGGCAAAGCGAAATGCAAACGGTGCCAAGGTGGCAAGGCATGGACAAACTTCACCGAGGAAAAGGACGGGGCTGGGGCAGCACTGCACTCCAGGAGCGTCTTGAAACCGGCTGGGGGCCCCCGGCAGAGGAGCTGGCGATGGTGCACGGCTGCTCTCCACAAGGAACCAGGAGAACGGACACAGCCCCTCACCTTCCAAAGCTGTGGGCAGTGGTGTGGGAGCAGGGTAGATGGGAGAGACTCTGCAGCAGGGGACGAGGACACACAGACCCCTTCCCTGCCTCTGAGCACCCGCTTCTGCCCTGGGGAGTTTCTCAGGGCTGGAGATGCCCAGGGAAGGACGAGCAGAGCCGGTCCCCGGGCTGGTCCCAGGCCAGGTGAGGACTGCATGGCTCTGGCAATTGGAAGGGAATAAATACACGCGGAAGCAGGGAGGTGTTACACCGCGGAGACGCCACAACAATAACAAGGCCAGGACTTCAACCAGCCCTTTGAAGAGCAGATGCTTTGATACAAGGTCAAACCCAGCGTCAGACCCTGGGGCCATGGGGTGGCTTTGCACCCGGGCGAGGCAGGAGTGGACGCTCAGGCTCAGCTCTGGCTCCAGCTGCTGCCTTCTGGTACAAGAGATCCGTATTTACACACACGTGTGCTCACAGCATCCCCCACCGTACCACACAAAGCCTACAGCACGCACTCCTCATCCTCTCCCTTCCCAGGTGCCTGGGACACCAGTCACACCACGCTTTCCACATCCAGAACCCCAGCAGCCTCCAGAGGAGATGCAGGGACCTTTGGATGGATGCTCTTCGGATGCAGAACCCAGCAATTGCAGCATCCTCCACCTTGGACAGTGGAAAGGAGGCAAAGAAAGAATAGGGACGTCTCACAAGCCCGAAGGAAGAAATCCCAAGCAGGGCACTACTGGGGAGAGCCAGGTGCTGTGGCAGGAGGATGCACAGTGCTGGGTGCTCCATGGGCAACGAATTCCCGGGCGCAGGGGCTGAGGCTGTAAGTCAACAGGGTTTATCTGCAAGAGTCCCTCATTTCTGTCCGGTTTTGCAAGGCTGAGGTAGAAATACAGAATTGTTCAGACTCAAAAATTTCCATATTTTCTCCAAGTACCTTCCCCATCATTTCTAATATGTGTCCATCATAAGAGCTTGATCCAAAATACAACGGAGCTTCGCTTAGCAACTGTACACAAGATATTTCCAGAGCAGGTAACCCCGTGGTCAGGCTCCCGAGGAGCGGCTCTGCCACGGCCTTGGTGGGACACGGCCAATGCCCACGCTGTTCTCCAGGGCTATTACACAACGTGGGTGGATGAAATCTGGAACACAACCTTTAAAGAAAGGCGATGGGGCAGGGGGAGGAGGAAAGCAAACAAAAGGGACATTTTACTTTCTGCCAAGAATCAGGAGGGGAAGGAAAAAAAAAAACCAACCCACAACCATTTGTCTATCTCGCATGGCGGGCTGGTTGCCTTGGCACCAGGGCCTGGCCATCCCAGGGGGGGAGATCACAGCTCTGCCATCCCACTCTGCAGCGACGCTGCACGGGAAGGGCTCGGGCTCTGGCTGGCTCTGCCCTGGCTCCCAGCACTGCGCCAGAGCAGGATCGAGCCTGCAGCGCCTGGGGGAGAGACATCCACACTGCTTCCCTAAATGCGTGT